GAGGCCCAACTCCTGCTGCAGAAAACATTCCCCAAACCATGACACTTCCTCCTCCACCTTTCACTGACTTTTTAATACCCTTTGGGTTCAGTCTTTCCCCAGTTTGAAAACAAACATAATGTTTAACATCTTACCCAAATAAATTAAACTTGCTTTCATCACTAAAGTGAACTTTGGCCCAGTTCTTCTCAGTCCACACAACATGCTCCTCAGCAAAGGTTAGTCTAGCCTTTTGATTCTTTCTGCCAGTGAGAGGTTTGGTCCCTGCAGAGTGGACTTTCAGTCCAAATGCTCTTAAACGTCGAGACACTGTATGATGAGACAGATCCTTACCCTGTTCAGTGCTGAACTGGCGAGCAATTCCAGCTGCAGTGTTGAATCAACTGCCCACTGAGATTCTCTGCATTATCCTGTCCTCTCTTGCATTTGTCTTTTGTGGATGACCACCCTTCTTGGGGGACTTGAATGAGTTTGTGACGTTGTAAAGATGCAATATTTTAGAAATCACAGATTTGGAATGACCAACTTCTCTTGCTATGACTGATAGGGTCATCCCTTTGGCCTTCATCTGGACAACCTGCTGCCGAAAGGTTTCAGTCACTTTAGAGCGGCTCACCATCTTGCAAAGTCAGTGAAAACTGGAAAGTTAGGCTGCCAGTTAAATTGGGTTTGTGGGATAATTAAGAAAATTAGCACCAGGTGCCAGATTATCTCCGATAACTGGGAGGTATCTGAAAGTGTTCTCTAATTTTGATCAGTGTTCTTTTTCAAATATCTCATTTAAGTTTTTTATACTGTGCTTCAGAACATATGTAATTCATGAAATATGCTTAAAATACTTTTAATCCTGTTTGGATAATTTCAAATAGGACTACGCAGTGACCTTGACATTTAGTAAATTGTAGATTGTTCTCTAATTTTGATCTCCAGTGTACAGCACAGAGCTCTGTCCTGACTTGGGTATTATTGTCAAATGGACTCAATCAATCTTTATTAACTGTATCTGAAAAACAATTATTTTCAAATTATTGGACTTGCTAAAATGTAGGAAATAAAGTTAATATTAATATCATTATTGTTACTATTATATGAATCAAATCAACAATATATGTCCTGTATCTGTCCTGACCTGTCCTATCTACTGTGACTTAGGTATTCTTGTCAAATAGACTCAAGTAAATCTTTATTTACTCTGAGAGACAATTACTGTTAAATTATTGGACTTCACTCAAATTTAAAAAATAAAGTTAATATTATTATTATTATATACTATTGAGGTTCAACAAAATAAAGAGAAAAGGAGATAATAATAAATAATGTATGACACACATTTTTGACAAAATGTTAAAAATTATTTTATCTGGTGCAAAATTGTCACACATTTTCACTTCATTTCATCACTTTAGACCAACAACAATGATAGATGAAAATGTAAAAAAAGAGAACATTTCATGTAATTCATATAATTTCCATATAATTTTTTGCCACAGTCATAGGGTGCCACTGAAGAGATGATAAAAAGAGCTCTAGGTGGCTCCAGAGCCACAAGTTGCCTACCCTATCCCTGGAGGTCCACTGCGTAGGATTAAGTGGCATTTAGAGCTGCTGCAACTCACTCACTTCACCCTCCCTTTCCAAGCATGAGGGAGAAACTACAGTGGTTGTGAAACGCCCAAAATATGTCAAGGCCCCATGTTGACCTAGTGTTGGTTTGTCCCTTCTGGGCTACTGTAGAAACATGGCGGTTCAACATGTTGTTTTTAAAATAAATGGCAGTATAGTAGTAGCTTAGGAAAGTTCCTAACTGAGTTAATTAGAAAATAAGAAATATTTCAGTGGCAGCCATGATAAGAATCTTTAGAATTCTGTAAATGCTAATAAAAAGGTGTTTCAGTGCTTTCTTTCTTATCTCCTTTGGCAGAGAATACACCTGTGTCCTTTTTTCTTGTATGTTTTGAACTCTCGACAATATGTTAATCTCATAGGCGAACTCTAAATGTGACAATGACCAGGTTCAGAATGAGTTTAATTGCCAAGTAGGTTTTTTCATTACCAAGGGAATCTGCCTCAATGTATTGGTCCATAACAATAAACACAGGACAAGGAAAACAAGTAGTGCAAGTCAAGAAGCATACATAGAAAAATAGGAAATTAACAATAATATATGAACAAATATAAAAACATAGATATGGCTGTTATTTTAATGGAATATGTAAAGTTTGTACAGGAATGTGCAAAAGACCACAATACTTAGTATAAAGAATATGTTCAATGTGCAGTAGAAGATTATACAGTACAGTAGTAGATTTGTAGGCCTAACATGTTATGACTGGTAGCCTATATTGCTCTTATTAAAGCGAAATGTTTATATTTAAATTTTTTATTTTTCACTGGGTTGTATGTGTGTATATCGCTGATAAACAACACAGTAAGAATGCAGGTACAAAATATCTAAAGTCCGCTTTTTGTAGTCCATCTTCACAACGTTACATTACGTTAATCACATAGCGTAGTAAAGGCAAAAGATTTCGTCTGATCACCTCTATCAGAGCATTAGCGTTGTTCCTGACGTGCAACGGTAAGCGTACTGACTCATTTCCGGTTTACTTCCTGCTCTGTGTACACTGTTTGGTGCTGTAGCTCTGTCAGTGAACGCTAAATATAAATTTGTTTTACTCGTTACAGCGGTTATTTACCCGCTTAACATTTAAACGTAGACTCGTTCTACCTTAACACTCGTAGCTACTTCTTTCTTTTAGCGACTTTTCGCTAGTTACATTAGCATTAGCAGTTAGCGATGAGTATTATTATTGCGTACAGGTGTACCTGTTATGTTTGCCCCCATCCGTTTGCTGCCTGTCATCGTCATCCTCGTCTTTTTCCAGTGATCGTCGATTCCGATGCATTACTAATTAATGTAGTTGTTTGCTACCTCGTTTGTTGGATGTACATCTGTCTGTGCTGCTCTCCTGTTTCTCCTCTCTCTCCTCTCTCTCTTCCCCAAGCTGGTCAAGGCAGATGACCACCCAACCTTAGAGCCGAAGGGTCCTGGTCCTAAGGATTTCTGCCTGTTAAAGGCAGTTTTCCTTGCCCCCCATGGGCCCAAGTGCTTCGCTCATGGTTGGTACTTGTTGGGTCTCTGTAAAGTGTTAAGGAGTTCGGTCTAGACCTGCTCTATTTGAAAAGTGTCCTGAGCAATAACTTCTGTTATATATTGGCAGCTATACAAATAAATTGAAATTGAATTGAATTGAATTGAATAGCTTGCCT